CCCCACATTATATCACCACACTTGTATGTGTATATGATATGAGTATCAGAACCATCAGTTGTAAGAATAGCTTGAAATGTGTTGTGCTAAAAATAAAATACATAAAATTGAAATAAATGAATTCTTCTTACTCTTTCAAGAATTTGGTCATAGTAATAATAATAGTATGACCCATGAGGGTAAGGATGGACATCTTTCCACTCCATAACTAGCATCCATATTCCTTTGTATGATGTGATATTCTTACTTGCTCTAATGAAATTGTTGACACCAGTGAATGCATCATTAGCTAATGGGTTGTTTGAACTGAAGGTTTGATATGAAACACTTCCTATAAAATCAAAAAATTCAAATTTGAAGTGGTAAAAAAATCTCTCCTTTTCATTTTTGGCAAAATTTGGCCAACATCCCTGTACTATATAGTACCGAGACTTTTCCCAATTTTTAAGTAGCTTTAAAAAATTTATTACAAATTTAAATTTGATTGCAATCAGCTCAAACTTTCTACACAACTTAAAAACATGCATATGTATCAGAGAAAATTATAAAATCAAAAAATTCTTTCCCTTTAATTTTTGGAAGGATTTGGCCAACGTCCCTGTACTACTATATACTACAGGAACTTTAACCAAATTTTTGAGCAACTGTAGAATTCTAAATTTGATTGGAATGAGCTCAAACTTTCTACACAACATAAATATGTATCAGGAAAAATATAAACATAGAGTAATCTGTAGTAGACATTTCAGGCAAAATTTGGCCAACGTTGAAATTTTAAAAATGCAAAACCTATTCATTCCATTGTCATAAAATCCATGACAAGCAATAAGCAAAAATCCATTGCTTTCATTGTCAAAAATTTAGTGACAAGTTTTGTTCTACTGTGACAAAATTTGTAACAAGCAAAAACCTGTAATATCTAATGCCTCTAAAATGTAATCAAATGATCAAAACTAGCAATATTTATTGTAAACACACTTCAAAATTTCAATATTTTATAATTATGTTTGACATTTGATTATCTATTTCTCATTCATTTATATTCAATTAATGTGGTGCTGTTACTAAAATAAATTAGCTCAAATTCACTTTTAAAAATTATAATTTTTACAATACAACATGCAGTACATGTACATATGTACCTTCTCTCCTGATGTCATAAAAGTTCCACATAGGAGCAAACACAACTGAATCTCTTATACCATGTATACTACTTGGAAACAAGGTTGAATACAAATAGTTAAAACGACCACTCATAGAAAATGTGCCACCAATGGAAATCTAAAAAAATTGACGATGCACCACAATGTATTAGTTTTACTATAATATTGTTTTATGAACTCACATAAATTGATGAATAAGCAGAACCTAGCAAAGTAATAGGTCTTGGAGCATTGACTCTCCATGTAGAGTAAAGGTGTTGCCTGGTTATGTTAGTAACTGTTGATGTACTGTTGTTGAACACAATGTAGGGAAGAATACCTGGAGGAACTACAAGAATAGATTCTTTAATCAAATCATAGTTCAGTAGGTGTTTCATTGAGATATGGCAACAGACATAATAGAAGAAATAAATAGTACAGCATTTTCTACTGTTACATTTACTTAGAAGTATTTCCTTATTTCATAACAATTGTAACTTTAGCATTAATTTAAAAATTGTAATTATGAATGCATGTAGTCTGTATATGCACTCATAATTACAGTTTATGAAATGTTAATGTACTGTTATTACAAATACAAAACAAAAATCAGAAATTTCACAGCTAAAATAAAAAATAGGTAAAATGAGCTAATAAATCATTAACTTTTATACTGTAATTCTTCAAAATACAATCATGTGATCCTAAATCTCAGCTACTGTATGTTCATTCTTTTTATTATAATTTTTAATTGAATAATCTTTTTATATATAAATTCTATTTATTATAAGTCTGTAAACAAAAGTGAACTAAGTAATCTTGAGTTGCTACTGTACATGTACATGTAAATGACCCACAAATAAGGATAATAAAGGTGATGCTGTGTACATTGGCTTACATTGCACATTAAGAGTCACAGTAGTGTCCATGTTAACTCCTGGTAAGCCTGTATTAGTGGATCTACATGTATAATCACCACTAGCTGTTCTGTTAATATTGGTTAAGTGTAAGGTCAAAGGAGGATTATTAGTGACAGGTGTAAGCTCACTACCATCACTATCATTAATCCATACATAACGTGGTGTACCACTGTTACCAGGATCAGAACATGTTAATGTTAAGTTGGATCCTTCAGTGATACTAATAGTGCCATTAGGTGATACTCTTGGGTTTAAAAAGTCTACAGAAAAGAATTAATGAAACATATGTACAAACAAATAATATATCAACTCACTAAAAGCTCCAATAGTAATGATATGATTCTGACTAGCTGATGATGATGAGCATGTCAGTGTGTCACCAACATCAACAACAGTAGTAGGATGTACAAGAGTAAGAAACAATGTATTAGAAGTACTTGATATTATAACA